TACAGCAATTGGCTCTTTTCATTGAGAATTCTTGGATACCTTCAGCCATAACTTCTTCCACACTTTGATTGTGAATTTATCAGTTAATTCTTGCAAAGGGAAGTTGATATTTCCTATTGCATCCATGATGTTATATTTTTCTAAAATTGCACAAAACAAACATAGATTTAAGGAAAGTGCAGCGCTATGACGAATTGCTACCTTTTGCCGATTGGTTCGGGTCTGAGAATTATTGTATTATATACGAATTAATGAAATGCTGCATTAATTTGAATTGATGTAAATTTAGGCTTTGAGCAGACTGCGTTATATTGAATCAGCATTAATCGAGGCAGTGTTAAGCAGGATCTTACTGTAATTATAAGGATCTTTAAGAATCAGTATACAGAATCATCCATAAATTACATAAATGCTAATTTTATATTTTTCAACTACCAACCTACCTTCTCATCATCCTCCTTAATGCATTGCTCATATCCATCTCTAAAATTAATCCCTTAGTTGAACTAAGGCATACCAAACAATCTATTTTTATAATTACATTCAAAGCAGCATCATAAACAAAAATAAATCATTCTGTTTTATAATGCTAAGATCTCAACCCTTGGATAATGTTTTTGTAAATATCCCCCACCCCTTCTAATGATTTCTGCATACCTATCCACCCATATCTGCATTTTATAATTTATGGACAGCCCCTTTGTGTATAAAACAAAAAATAACTTAATTGTATTGATTGGTTATGTAAGAGACTGATATTATGAAAAAATTACAGACTGTATAAATTAAAAAGTTGCTTTAAAAAAATTTAAGTAAATTTTAGAAGGTGAAATATAAGTGCATTGAAACAAAACCAGATGAATTGCCATTATCATCATCCAGAGTAGTAATTATTTTTGTCTTAAACAACTATAAACAAGAGAGTGTTTAATAAATATATTACTTTAAAAAATAAACTATTTAAAATGATGGAGTCAGATTAATTTTCCAATCTTATGTAATTGTATTGTAGAAAAATACATGAAAATTCAAATTTTCTTTCTTTAGGGGACATACCTAAGTAATTAAAGTGTTTCTTTCTGCAAAGTTGGTTTGTTTTACCTTTTTTAACTTTATCTCATTATTAACATAATGTTTTAGAATTTGGAAGTTGTTTATCCTCTAAGTCAGAAAAGAAAGAAAATTTTTGTGTATTTTTCTGCAATACAATTACGTAAGATTGGAAATATATTACTATTATCAAAATATATACATATTATGATAAACTTTTAAATCAATTCTGCTGTAAGTACTTGAAATTCTCAATTAAATTTTTTGAAGTGAGAGACAAATAATGGTAGAACTTCCAGCTTACTGGAGTGGAGACTTGATCTGTATTTTGCAAATCAAGCATGTGTCAAAGATGAAACAATGACTGGTTGTGTGTGATATTTTTGGATGATTATTTATATATAGAATATATAATGGTTTTTTCTCTTCCTAATAAACAAGCTTGAATTTCCTCTGTTGTCCTAGCTGTTTTTCATAACTATTTCTCACTTTTAGTTTCAAACTTCTCATAGAATTCTTTATATTTCCTATATTTTACAACCACTGTTTCCTAAATCTATTTGCTTTCCTAGTAGCTTCTTTTTTATTTTTAAATGCTATAAATATTTAAGAAAGAAGTATAAGCATTCTCATTATTTCTAGAACTCTTGGCACATTCCCTAATCTCCATATCCTATGCTCTACCATCAGTTCTTAATCTATTTCTTATTCTGACTATTCTTAATTTTTCACATTTTTCTTTCAATGTAAAGTCCCATTCAAAATGTTAAGATTCTCCATAGCTAGATTGGCTGCAGCTTAGCAATATGGGTGAGGATGGATGATCATATCTCTCTAACTGACATGATTGCGATAACAAAGCATTAAATTGCAGCTACAATACATAGGAATACATAAATTATTCATAGGAATCTAGCAAATAAATGATAATTATCATTTATTTGTTAGATTCCTATGAATGATTATTAATGAATATTATATTTATTTTCAACAAATATCTATTGTGATGAATTTAATAATGATTTAGCTACAGGACAATATACCTGGTAGATGTATGCTCATGTAATAATTGTAAAGCTATATAATTTTTTTTAAAAAGGAGTGTTAGCATTTGAATTAGTGGGTATCTACAGTATTTTTACAGACTAATGGGAGTTGACAGTTGTCTGAGTTAGCAGTATGTTTTCTCCAATGGATATTCAAGTACAGTAATTTATTACAATTAGCTCTATATAGAAGTTTTATTGAGCTGAGATTATACTACTGAATCTATTATTACGGGAAAGGAGCTCTAAAAATGTCATTTCAGTACACTATATATCAATGTACATCCTTTAGTAACTTACCAATGATAGTAATATAATGCATGGTATTGCATTAGTTGCAAGACTTAAGGATAAACACTCATTAATTATAATTTTTCTATTGCCAATAAATTTTAAATTACATCTTTGAGTTAGCAGGGATTTACTGTATTTCAAACTATTTTGAAAATGTAAAGATGGACAAAGATTTAATGCTAAGTTATAAGGTAATCCTAAGTTATCTGACCATTAACTGAAGTGTAAACTTATGATATATAATCATGTTGGGCTTCTTCTAAAGTAATACTGTTAATTATTTTGATATGCACATACACATCTAGGAAGAGTGATTTTTCTATACCAAATTTTATATTCCATATGTTCATAATCAGTGCCTAGAATATAAATAATAAGATAAATTTGTATCAGATCTGCATATTTTTGCGCAATCATTACTGTGTAAAAAGCAGAAATAGCATGAAGAAAACAATAAGCCTATAGGGAATAACATAGAAGCAAGTACTGGCACTTGACCATCAACATAACTGCTCATTAAAATAAATTCTCAGACTCACCAGTGTCATCTGTATGATGTGACACCATTAGCAGGACTCTTAATATTTAATGCTATTTTGTTGAATATATTTGGATATTTTTTGTTGTCAATAGTGTTAAATGAAAAGAGCATAAGCTTATAACTTATGTAATCTAACATAACCAGTTCATTATATTTTCTAAATAGATATTTAACAGAAACTAAAGATTGGAATAACCCTGTCTTTCACAGCTTTTTAAGTCATGAAATCATTACTTTTCCAGATTTCATTTTCATTAGTACAGGTTCTACAGCAAAAGCCAATGGTTTAACAAAGTTTTTTTGAAGCAACATTCATTGACAGAATGATCAGTCATTTTGTGATTTAAAAAAATAGCAGAAAGAAGTCCTCAAAAAAGACGATATTGTCACTAGTTTTATTGACAATATTGTCCATTGGATCTAACAAAGATGAAATAAGAATTTGAAATAATTCTGTTGGATTGTGTGTTCACAGTTCATAACTTTTCTTGAATGCACTCTTCTAAAAGAGAGAGATGCCTCCAATCGTGAATAACCTTTACATTCGAATTAATGAGAAATATCACTTGTTGACTTCGATAACAATGGCAATGACCTATTTTGACCATTTGTAAATTCAGAAATGTGTGGTTTGTTGAAAGATATAACATATTAGTTGTTTAATATTGCTAAAAACCCTGTTGCCATGGAAATGAGTTTGGCAATCATTCAAGCTGCAACAACTGCAGAAAATCTGAACATTTTCAATGTATATCATTTAATTATTTTTTCACCTTTACTTTCCTTTTGCTTTCTAATAAGTCTGTTCTTTCCATTCATAATCTGTATACTGGCTCCCTAGATTCTGGATTTTTCCTATTAGATTATTCCTAATTATTATTTTCTTTTGAAATGTGTGTTCTCTATTATTAGATTGTCATTAGATGTTGCAATAGCACAATCTTTTCTCTTACTTGGAATTGATTTCAATTTTCTTTGTTAACTCTTCTAATTTGACAAATTAAATTTCTCCCAAAACCCTATTCCATCAGATTAATTTAGACTTATACAGAATATATAAGTTTATTACACAATTAAATTTACATATTAGCTATGTCCTGATGTGATCGTGATTGCCCCATGGCACCACTGTGTCCACCAATGATACAAGACAAAATGTCAATGCCATTTATATTGTATGGAATCATGCATAGCTCTGTACAGATCATTTCCCAGCCAAGATATAAAATTTCCAGAGTCCCTTTTTTAATGCACAGTGATTTTGTAACAGATTTGTCAAACAATCTTCCCTTCACTAAGTAAACAAACTTGTCCCTTCTATTGTACAATTTTAGAGCACAGCCAAGATTTATAAAACAACTATATTTCAATTCACTGTCTATAAATGATAGAGATTTCTTTTAAGGAAGCAAATCCTATCATTTTCCAAATAATTCAATCTGTAATGTCCTATTCAAAGCATTTACTGTTTTTGTCTGTCCACAGAAAATGGACAATGTTTACATTTTTTTCTTAACCATGGAATTGAACAAATGAATGCATCATTTTTGTTCAATTCTATGTCACCACAAATTAGCATTTTCAATTAAAAAAATAATAATAAACTACTTACTAAATCCACTCATATGCTATGTATATTCATTACCATAAAATATGAAATCTGCAAGAATTATAATACAAAACCAATATAATTAAAAGATTTACATCAATAATTTATTAATCTAAAAATTTAAATTAAATAATTACAGAAATATACATACGTACATATACTTACAGTTTTATGTATGCCAATACAATTGTAAAAAGAATGCCAAAATTTCAACATAAAACATATAAAGACCAATGTTTTTTTTTCTTAAAGATTCTGGAAACCAGAAATACAAAGAACACAATTTTTATGTACAGTAAAACAAATTTTGAATTACAAAAAATAATTCTTAAAATTTTTCCACAAGTATAAAGAATGTATTTTTCAGTTTTTTATAAAATTGAGAAATTCTCTTTCTATGCGCAACAATACTATTATAAAATTCTTTATAATAAATTATTTTTTTTTATAGATTGTGATTTTTAGGCAATTATTTTAATAAAGGCAAATGAATAAATTTTTGTGTTCTGGTAACTTTTTTTTTAAAGCTACTGTTACCATATAATAAAAATATAATGGGCATTATGTAATGGTGAAAAAGTAGTAAACTGCATTTTTTAGTGTCATTTTCAAGATAAAATTTTGTCATTCTTGGCTACTAATAGCACTAAAGTCAAATTAGTAGACCCATGTTTTAATATTGCCTGAAGAGATTTTTCTTTAAATTGTGACGTTCGAATGGGATTGACGGTATCTCTATGCACACCACATTATAAAAGAAATATCTGTCGCAAATAAATATCTGAAATGTAAACACAAGAAAAATTAAATATCCTATTTTCACTAAACAAAATATTTTTTACAGATATGTACAAATATAATGTCTATACAGTAAATGTATCTACAGAAGTAGATAATATCAGATAATAATAACTTTCAATTTTGTTTTGAATGATGCAGCAAATCATACAATGTATGATTTATTACAAAATAATGTCACATCCAGAGCATGATATATGTACTGTAGATACCAAATGTTCACATTTGTACTATATATATATATATCCGATATAAAATAGCTTTGATCCAAGAAAATAAAATTTAATGCTAAAGCTAATATTTTAATAACCGATGTCGTGCTGGAGAAAAGTGATTCGTCGAACTTAGCTTCCAAATCCTTCTAGCCTTATTAGGAGGGAATGCAAAATTGTAGCACCGCATTCTTTGGTACGCCATTCGAGATCTCCATTGCTGAAGTGAGTGTCTATCGGTTCTCTCGCACCCAGTCTCTGTGGTCCAACCGTATATGAACCTGGACGAACGTACACTTGAAATGCCGCCTTGGCATAGACAACTTTTCTAGTTTTTGGCTCTATAAATCTATATTTGAAATATTCGTGTTGAGTTTTGTTTTCAATTTAACTTTAATGAACTACATAGGATAAATTTAAACTTACTCATACTGAGGTGAAAATAAATTATTTCCTGCATACTGCAGTGTGGGCGATAAAAACACTTGGTGCAAGTCTAAATCTTTTCCCTTCACTCTCCGAACCATTTCCTTTGCAAAAGGACCCAATCCCATTTCTCCTAGTACATTGAAATAGCATTCTTAAATTATAAATACTAATTGCACATATTTATAAAAATATAATTGTAATATAATAATACCTGGTGAAATTAACTGTCCATGATCTAAAATTTGACGAACGGCACCAACTTTCGTACCATGGAAGGCCACGTGCCATTTTTCTCTCATATTATTACTTTCAATTTTAGGATTTAATCTAAACGTAAAATGACAGTTACATATTTAATTTCAGTACATAAAAAATTTTTTGTGATAATTATTATTATAATACTTACTTTAGAGCAAATCGACACCAACCAAAAGGCAAAGCATATTCTTTGGGAGGTTCTCCTCTCTTAAAATATAATTCATCGCCACGAATTTTATGACATGTTTCACAATAACACGTGCTCTGGTCGCTCAGAAAAAACCCCTCTAAAATATAATTGACAAAATACCTTAATTGATAAACAACAATGATAAAAACTTTAAATAAATGGGTTACATACCTGGAAGACCCAATACTGATTTAAATCTAGAACACGCATTATGATATTCACAATTCTTTACTCGATCACTCTTGTTAATCTTTTCCTTAATTCCTACAAATTAAATATTTATTAAGTTTCTACAATTTTTAAGAAAATGCAATAGGACTATACAAACTAGAAACTACTGTAAACAAATAATACAGTAACCTTTTTTTTAAAATCAAAACTGTTGAAAACATTTTGTCTACTTTACGATAACAGACATTTTTTTGTCTGTTTGTCTAGTTTAGTTACAGCAATGCAACACTTGGATGATCTGCCTAGGGCACGGGTCGGCAACCTTTTGAGTCGGAAGAGCCAAAAATTACAATTTACAAAATTTCAAAGTTTTTAAAGAGCCACAAAATTTTTTCTTGCCAACAATAAATAGTACTCGCATAAATAAAGTTTTTTGATTAAAAAAAATTAATCTATTTATTCAGAATTGTCTTGCGGCGAAAGCGAATTAAACCTCATAGAAACATCCAACGATGGCGTCATTCGTGAGCTTCCGACGGACTGACGACAGTGACGATGCGTGTCACGGGGGAGGGGAGGGATGAAAAGCGAGTACAAGTGGCTGAGAGATAGAATCGGTGCCGAATCCTCGTTAATCGATTCAGAACGATTTTTAAATGTTTTTTTTTTTTTTGATAAAATAAATAATATTTGCATATGGAACTAAGAGCCGCAGCTTCACATCCAAAGGGCGGCATGTGGCTCGCGAGCCGCAGGTTGCTGACCCCTGGCCTAGGGGGATGCCTTCTGGGAGGTCTTTTTAAGGATAATTGGCCCCTATTCAGGATTACAGACATGAAGAAAACCCAGAAAACTCCACGTGCCCAGCCCATTCTGGCGAGGCATGAACCCATGACCAAACTCCCAGTGTTCGGGGAACGGAACCACATGGCCATTGGTGGGCCAATAATAGACACTTACAGGAGAGTTTGTGATTGCTGGACACTTGTTTTTTTTTTTTAATTAGAAATAATTCCTTAAAAGAAGGTAATAAGCATACTTATCAATAAGAATATAGATTTAAATATTATCTTGTTATTTAGGCCATTGTATAAACTGTGCTGAAAAAATTCTCACCAAGTCATGTCCACAACAAACAAATTGAATTATTAAATGTTGAAATTAATCAAAGAAGCAAATAATTATTTCTTAATATTAAAACAACCTAATACACAATTAATATAGGTAATATAGTATTTCAAGTATAAAATATACAACTAATGCAGCTGTTGTATTATATTACTACAATACATATTCAGAAATTAATATACACAATTTATTTCTACAGTTATTGTTTTAATCTTTAATAATCAATTATTAATAAATTATATTAACACTAAAATATACCTGAAAGATATAAAGGCAGTTCCAATTGTTTGTCTCTTAATTCATTTAATGAACCTGCAAATATAAATATATTTATTTTTGATCTGGAGTTATCTAATCATTATAGAATTACAAAATTATCTTCGTGGATCTATCATACAAGGGAAAACTACTATGGGAAATCATCATTAATTTGAAATTGGTTAGTTCATAACTGTACTACTTGTCCTGGCCAGAGAAATAAAAGCTTATATGTTAAGGAATTCAGTTAGTTCAAAATATGGTTACTTTAAAATTTGAAGTGAAAATTCTGTCCGAACTGTGATATGCATATATTAATTCATATAGAGACATGTGAACTTCAATTTAAATATAAGAGAACATACCACAAACAACTGTAATATGGTCAATGTGGCTTTGCTTTATAGTACTGTAATCCATTTTCAGGTGTCAACTTACCCATCAACTACAGTTACAGTTGGGTTTCAGGATTACAAGATGAGACAGTTGTAAAGCTCAACTATACTACTAGATTTAGCAACTCAATATTTGGGCTACATTTGAAGAATTTCACTTTACCTTTTATGGCAATCTATAAGGTTCTCACCAGATGTGCTATTTACTTGCAGTTAATTAATAATTATTAATATTTCATTTGCTTAATAAATTACATCAGTTACATGGTATTTGGTATACTGTACAGAAATATAAATCTCAGTTAATTTGAAAAGTTGATAATTCAAAGTTGTAATTATTTTGTCCCTCAAATTTCAAACTAACAAGGATATCTTCTGTACTTTTTAAAGGAGAGTTATCTTTCCTTATTGTTTCGACAGAAGGCATTTCAAGCTACTCCCCTCATCAGTCTGTTTCGGGCATTTCAGTCAATGTTTTGTTTACACAGATTTATCTGTGTAAATATCAACTGAAGTGCAAAATTAATCATAGCCTGAAATAATAAAGATGACTGTCCTTTAGAAAATAGTAATTTTCCCTTCTGTGATAATTAGAATCTATCATACAAGTAAAGAAATTATATTAATTATTATTAAGTCTCTATTAAAAGAGAACTTTGTACCAGTCTGGCATTGAGTTATCAAGTCCAATATGTAGCTATTACAAGTATGGAATCTTAAAAGATCAACAAATATGAAATCACCTTTGACCAAAGCTCAAAATAGCTATCTCAATATATTTTCTTCAAATCAATGTGTTTCCCATAAAAAATATTTGTATGATCAAAATTTATTCTCTTTTGCTTCCTTTCGAATCTGTCCTATTTATTTATTACATATGGTATAATTATAACTGATATATACTGAAATTCATCTATTAATTATATTAAATCAATATACAAAAATGTAATATACAACTTCCCTCTACATATTTCATGATTTTACTATTATATTTTGTTAGCTCTAAACTTTTACAATGAGAACACTACAGTAACATCATAGTAATGTAAGAATTTTGACATAAGAATGTAAATTATCTCAATCTATATCAAATTTCGGAAAGTCTCAGAAATAATGTTTATTTTTTGTTTTGGATCAAATTTCAATAAAATAAACACAATAAAAAAGCACTTTCAGCATTCTACAAGTATTTTACATCATTAGAAATTAGACAAAATGAAGAAATTAAACATATAATCATAGATTTTCATGTAATGCCAACAGTTTCACAATTTTAGAATAATGGAGAGGGATATACTGTATAACCTCTCATAAACTGGCATGCTGGTTTTTTTAGAATATGGAAACAAATGATTTCATGGTCTCTCTGGATACACTGATATGCCAGACAATCCAATAAAATGTGGTACATAATATTTAATATCCACCAATGGTCTGTAAGCAGTGGACTGTTTGAGTTTTAACTCTTATAGAAAATTTGGGAATTCTATTTATCTTAAAGAATATTAAATATATAAGATCACAACTTTTTAATAATTTCTTTAGATCACTCAAAATATGCTGTTGGATCATAATTTCCCTCTTCAATCAGGTTACAGACATAATTGTTTTCTTGGTTTTGCAATACTATTGTTTGACTTCTTTGTCAGATTTTAACAACACTAACTTATGATTTTTCAAATAACTATTAACTCAGATATTTAAATATTTGTGCAAGAATCCTACATATTACATGACTATTTTTCCTTTAGGAGTTATACTTCTTTGTATAGTTGAACTTAGTTCTGGTCTAACATTTTCTGACACCAAATTAATCATTATTGATGTATGACTGAAGAGGATCTTAAAGATCACTATGCATACCAGAAATAAAGTTACATTCTAATAATAAAGTGTCATTTTGATGCCCTCAGTAACAGTGTAATGAGCTCTGATCGCTCCACTAAGCAGTATATGAGATACCTTTATAAATATTGAGACAACAAGCTTTAATATAAATCTTACTCAAACTGATAATTTGTTATTTTTATTAATAAAGCTATAAAAATGTTTATTTTGGTTATTGATTGAACTTCATTAAATCAAATTAAATTAAATGTGGGCAATTACACAACAAAGAAAATAGAAATTTATCAAGTTAAAGAACTGTTATTTTAAGTTTACAAAGAAAATGTTAAAATTTACATTGCTGCTAGAATGAAAATATTCTAGCTGAAAAAAATTGTATAATTATTTTATTATTCATAAAATCATTAAGACAAAATTCCAATTTAGTAAGCAGCATAAATTTTATCAGGAATACATTCAAGTGATTGATGAAGAATTATCTTATTTTTGATAAAAAGATACTTTGAAAAAGTATTGTAGAAAATAGTTTAAAAAAATATGTTTTAATTAAAAATAGATCCTTTATAGAAAAGAAAAACTGACTACATTAAGAGAAAATTAGTTTTTGTTGTACACTCACCACAATCAATATCATTTTTCTCCCTATGATTTCTTTCCAGAGTATCACTTTCATTCTCTTCTTCTTCAATAATAGAAACCTATAAATTAAAAACATATCTGACAGTTTTTTTTATACTAGACATTCAAATAATTTCATAATTAATAGAGATTAAATGAATAAATAATAATGAACTTTTATGAAATTTGTTTATAAAATTAATTAAAATATCTATACATTGACATTTGCTATATTTTTAAAAATCTTAACATAATTATGGATTTTTTTATATACATTAATTTGAATTTCAAAAAAGATATTGTCAGAATTGTTGGAAAAAGTTCTTTAAATTTTGAAACAGTAATTAATTTACAGTAAAATGTTGATATAACAAAACTGTATGTAAGAGATCATTGAAATAGTTTAAATGCCAGAATATTAAATAATGAAAAACCTACACCTTGAAAGAAAAGAATCTTTAAAATTACAGATTTTCTAATACTGTTGGTTAGGATAAATTTCATACTTATACAATTTTAAAATAAACCATGATGAATCAGCATGTTATGTTTCTGATTAAAAAAACATTTACTCTGCCTTGCAAGCATTAAAAGAGTCATTTATCATGCCAGACTGTGGGCAAAATCCACAATAGAATGGTCAGCTGGCAAGACATGGAATCAACCTCTGATAAATTGTGAGCCAATCCACACTCAAATCCAGGTCTCTTGGAATAGAGTGCCTTTACTGTACCAACTATCTGACCACCTATGTTTGTAATTGATTTTATTGTCAACATTGTCTATTTCTTGGAATAGCTGTTTGTTCTAATGGTGGCAGCACTGATAATCTTATGCCCTTCTGCAGAATACAGACTTCTTTCAGCAATAAACATCAGCTAATTTTCATCTTGGCATCATCATGTACAGTATTAGATGGTCAAGATATCATTTTGAGTAATTGTATAACAACAACACTATACTCCAAACTAAATTAACAATTACAGTAGAGCATCAATTATCCAAATGTTGATCAACCAAAACATCAATTAACCGAAAGCTTTCCAGTCAGCAAATTTAAATTTCCGCTAGTACTGTGGTGCTGCAATCTTTGGCTATGTTTTAGGCAACTCTGATATTATTTTTGTTGGTCTGCATGTTTTAGCTGGCAGCACTGCCGCGACCATGAGAGGGTACTTAAGGACATGCCAGAATTTTAATGAATTTCAACATGGGATAAGTATTTATTATAGGTAATATATTTTTTTGTACATGATCAGTTATCCAAAAAATCAATTTTCCAAACAACCCCAGTCCCCAACTGATTCAGATAATTGATGCTCTACTGTATAACTAATAATTGATTCACAATCCATTGACAACAAAAGATGACATTTACAGATTTTATCATAATGATCATTTTCTTTCATAAAGAGTTAAACTTTCATTACGTTTAAACTGAAACAAAAATTCCAGTTTATGAATATTACTGTAACATTTTTACATTAATGCTACTTTTACACTTCCATCAATTTGATATAAAATTACTAAAAAACTTGTATTTTTGTGGGTGATTGATTATTGAGAAAGCTTTCACACTTATTCTGACATATGATTACTGTCCATTTATTATCAGCCATCATTCAAATGATAATCAATATTCAACATTCTGTCAAATTGGTAAGCATGTAGCAAGTGAGAATTTCAAAAACTTTTTGCAGAAAATGTAGGAAAAATTGATTGCATTAGTAAAAGAAAGTCTTTTCCATTTGTATTGTACAGCTAGAGCCTATCTAAATATTTATTAATTCATAGTTATTGGTTATTTGAACCACAAATACATGAAGCAAGTTTGAAAATTTCCATATTGTAATCAATTTTCATTTCTTTTTTAATCCAGTTTTTTTACTCTGTTTCTTCTTTTGTAAATCCCAACATAATATTCTTGATATTAGAATAAAAAGAAAACAATTTCTGGGACCATGTTTTGAAAATGTTCTATATTTAGTGTAAACTGACCTTAATCCAAAAATAATGAATATAATGTGAAAGTGAGGTTGTATATCTTTGAGGATTCAACATATGAGAATTATTAATTGAATCTCATTAAACAATCTGTTGTGATTAATGGTGGTGCCAATATGAAAATAGCATAAGATGCAAACTGGTGGACAGATTGAAAATAAATTTGTTATACCAGCATTCATACAAAGATAATTTACTGTATTAATCTTGAGATGTTGAAATTATATAACTAATTAGATTTTATTCTAATTTACTGGGAAATTCAAGTCTTGGAATATCTGTTCCAACATTTTTTCAACTAAACTTACAAGACCTATCAGTTCAGTTTTATGGCATATATTTGAGATAAAAATATAAAAGTCAAACCTAGCTAACTGAAATTATTGAACTATGATAAAATCTATAAAGAAAAATAGCTACCTGTTCACACTGTCCATAAACATCTACAAGGGCATAACAGATGGCGGGAATATTTCTGGCAGCAATTCCTTGATCTATATTATTTACAAATAAGTGTAGTCTATTTTCAGTGTCTATCATTATGCCAATGACGTGTCCAGTCTGAAGACTGTCCAAATTGGGTCCATAACGTCCCTTCACCTAGATACACAAAATTTTACAAACAAATACATTTTTTTAATGTAAAATTAAGTGAAACGCACTTTGATACTGTTCTGAAACACAGAATCTCCACATATTATCCATGAGGATTTCCTTAAAGAGAATGCAGACACAGGAAAATGAAGTTTTTCTGGAGAGACTGCAATGATGCCAATTTGGAGGGAAGAAGTCCATTTTGTATGCAGTTTATCTATTCTTACCTGAAAAGAAATTCACTTTAGTATTTCAAAACATTCTTATATTCAGTATAGTAAATAACCAATAAGATTAATGCATAACAAGAATTTTCTAGTACTTTTCAGCTTTTAATTATAACTTTGAAAGCAGAAAAAAGAATAATTAGACTAAAATAAAAAACAGTAATAAAGTAATAAAAAATTTTAGAGATTCTTTCAAAGTTTTAAAATTTCATTAATGTGAAGTATCTACACTTTATAGAAAGTATAAATTAATTAAATCTAATTAATTTATACTTTATAGATATATCTTAATTTATATAAATAATGGCATAATTACCAATTAAACACACATTAAAGGACAGTTCATATTTTGTGAGAATGAAAAAGAGGAGAACATTTCTCTTTTCTATTATTCTCAACTTTGCACACACATAAGGAGTTATTCTTTCCTAGAATAAGAATGGAGTTGATGTTCATTGTTTTCCTTTGCACAAGTAAACTAGTTTCTTGTTCATTACAAAGTGAACATAAATTTTTTAATATATAATGTAAATCATAAAAAACATAATATAAACTGTTATAGTTTATATTATGTTTTTTATGCATTACATTATATATTAAAAAATTATATTTGAAATTTCTGACAATTTTACAAGAAATTTAAAATTATAAAAAACAAAAAAAAATCACACACTGCCATATGTTTTCTGTTTTTTTATAATATCACCAAACTATTTTCCTTTGTAAGAAAAACATCTCTACATTCTTATTTTGGGAAAGTTTACAGAATCTTTTATTTCTAAATTTAAATTTTATATAAATTTATTTTAAAAAAATCATGCTTTTTTGAAGATTTTAATTTGAACTTTTAAAGTGAAAATATCATTAAACAAATTTTGTAAAAAATACCTTTAATGAAAGTAAGTGCAATCAAGAACAAATTTTACATGTTAAAGAAATTTCGATCTTTCTTTAAATTGAAACATTACCATTAAAGTTTAAAGAATAATTTTTTGGTTATCTGGATTTGTTAGGAATGACAAAGTTCCATTAAATTTCTAAATCAGACCTTGAGTATTCAGTGCTAAGAGACAACTCTGAATTAAAATGTATTCTATTTACATTATTATTCATCTAGAAATCTACTTGTTCTCCTGAAACATAAAACTTACACATTTCTTGCAAAACATTTTGATTGTTTTTTATCAGATAATTGTTATACATAGTTACTTGGCAGAGATGCAAAGTGAATCAATGCTATTATGTAAAATTACTGTAATTTCCTGTAATTTACCTGCAGTGACATATACCAAAAGAAAATTATTAAAACAAAAATAATGTTGCACAACCAGCATTGCTATATCTTATGTCCTTAAAGCTGCTGTTGCAAACATGTCACTTAACTTATATGCAAGTTAGAAGGTATTAACTCACTGTTTTTTACCTCATTTCTTTTGTTTTATTTCCAATAGCAATTCATTGTAGATGTAATTATAAAATAAGTGAAACTGAAAAAACAGAATATTTAAATATTTGAGAAAAAAAAAACTATTTAAACTGCATTAAATAAACCAAATTAAATATAATACCAAATATAAACTGCAAAATACCAAAACTATTAATAATAATTAATTTTAATTAAATCAGCATTTTTGTTATATTTTACATATTTGTTCATTTTATGTAAATTTTCTGTCCAAGAGTGAAAATTTTTTAACTATGTAAAATTATGCATATAAATGCTGCAGTTTCTCTCTCTCCCTCTTCTAAAATATTATGTCTCAATTTTTATCTTTTCAAATATGCTTATTTTAATTCATACACAAGTATTTTAAGCTAAAATATTACTGATATAAATTAAGATACATTAGCAATACAGCATAAGTGTTCACTCTTGATTAATATACAGAAAATTTAGGCAAATCTTTTGATCTTAAATATAATTTGGCTATATTTTTCTTCAAAATTCCTCAAAAGAGTTATAACTGAATTGTTACAGAAACAAAACAAAGAGTTGAAAAGTACTAAAAAAGTTATGAAAATTGATTAAACCTGAAAAAGTTGATCTCTTGGTAATGGCTTACTAGACACTACAATTCCTTGATTGTAACTTGCAATTCGTTTGGCTGTTAAATTTCCATGTAAAAGTTGAATGTTTTTGCCTCTGTTTTCATGAAATTCCTGCTTTACATGCTCTTTACTGATTGAATGAGGTTCTTCTATCTGAAATAAAAAATATATATAACAACATAGCTTTATATTTTTTTAAAAATTTAGGATTTGTCTTTGGATACTTACTTCTAATGCTTCATTTTCTGTTATTATTGGCATTGGTGGAAGCTGAGACTCTAAAATATTCGTCACAGGCGTATTGCAGAGTTTGACTATTTCGATTGTTCCATATAAATCCAAAATGGCATATAATTTCTATAAAAATTAATTTATAAAAATTTTTTGTTTCATTGAAAAAACATTTATGATTTTAAAAAATATAATAATTATACATACACAGAAATAATAACTTCATATAAAGCATTTTTAGTTAGGTATCATGCAAGTGTAAAATAGTCTGCAATAATTTGTAATTTATAGAAACATTTCAAACAAATCTAAACACATTAAATACTAGATATCAACATAACTATTTAACAAGCCTGTCAACATTTTCCAATTACAATGAAACACCTGATAATGAACTTAGTTATTAAGATAAATTATTTTGTTAACTTTTATTCATACTTTAAGCATAAGACCAAATATTAATATTCACTAAGTGTTTGAATATGATGCATTTATTTTATAATAAAATAATTTTATATCCAAAAAATATGTCATTGGCAACATAAATTTAAAGCAGCAACATTAAAATGCACAGGTACACACTGAAAGCAACTTACTTCAGATAGCTATATTATGCATATTATTTTAAATAAATATTTAAATAGCAGAAACTGTAGATAAATGATAACAAAGTTATTTCTCTGAAATAATAACATTGATACATAGAAAAAATAATATTAACCTATATTTGTAATACAACTTTCTGAAACCATCTACATGAGATGTGTCATATTAAAACTTTTGCTATATTTCTGGATATATGGGTGTAGTCAAAAGCTATGTAGTTAAGACATTATGTGTAGATGCTATAGATAACCACACCTGATGTTCTTCTTAGATGAAATTAGCAACATTAGAATTAGCATATGTAAAAATCAGTTTTCAATGATTTGCCCATTTTCCTCAATCTTTCTTTCAATACTGCTGACTATTGTAGATGTTATCTTTTTATAGTGGCAAATTGGTGCTTTAGCTCTCTTTTAAAGTACCCCATTGTATCTAGCTGTATTGTAATTTAAAAACAGTTGTTGGCCTGCATCTTTTATACTCAGTCCCTCTTTATCAATTAACTTCATCAAAAGATGTAATTTCTCATTACTTGAGATATGCAAATGAAATCTGTTGACACATGTTTTACTTATTGCATTTATTCTGAAATATTTTATTCTGTGTATATAATATATTGATCTTATTAACATGATGAAATGTATAACAAAATTCAGTCTGACCTGATACTGCAAGAACAGATGAAAGTACAATGTTTAGAAAGTACAATGTATTGTCTGTAAAAATCATTTGTGACTGTGAATGACATTGCAGCAATAGTAGGTATCAATCCAGGTAACCGTCACACTATTCTGACAGAAAATTGAACATGAACCATGCCATGGAACATGTAATTCCACACTTGTTAACAGATGATCAGTGCCAAGAGAGGATAAACATTTGTGGTAACCTCATTAACAATTTCAACAGATTTTTGATGCATTGCATCAGGTTTCATATCTGGTGTTTCATCTCTATGATCTACAAGTGAAGTGGCAATCAGCAAGTTGGAAATCACCGCCATCCCTGTGTGCAAAGAGATGCCTACAGTGCAGGACAGGTCCAAAGGCAAAGTCAGTCAGAAGTGTTTTTCAATGTCATGGGCATTGTGCACATGTAATTCATTTCTGAAAACACTACTGTAAACAAAGAATAGTATGTGAAAATTCTACATCATCTGTATGAATGTCAATTCATTACATAAGACCTGAGCTGTGATAGAACAATTGGTCTCTCCTGTATGATAATGCTCTTGCACAATGCTCTCTTCTGGTGCAAACTGAGCTGGCAAAAACATGAATGGCAGTCTTGTCACATCATGCATACTCACCCAACCTGGCATAATGCAATTTTCTTTTTGGTCATATGAAACAACTTCAAACTTTTCAGGAGTGTTTCCAGTAGTTTTATCATCATTGGCAGTGTGCTTTGTGGCCAAAGGACATTACTTTGAAAATAAATGTCTCAACTCAATAATTTGCTTAATAAATGTATCTTTTCACAATCTGCTTAGTTCTCAAAAAGTTTGAAGACTAAGCAGATTGTGCTGACTGCAAAAGCTGACTATATTTGACTAATTTAACTGAATGAGTTAAAAATTGAAATAAATATCATTACTCACATGTATGAGAAATTAATATTTAATTTCCCAGTTAAATAATTATCAATCAAGGTAATTTCACTCAACTAATAGAATTTTTACCTTAGAGAGGCATTACTTCTTTTTTGAAGAAAGAAAAATATTTGGTTCAAATAGCTGCCTTAGTAACAACTAATTTAAAATAAAATCCCATGATCACTTAAAAAACATGTATTTAGATGATAATATTAGAATGAAAATTCATATGAGTCTGCTCAAAAAATAATGGGAATAGTTTCATATTTTTCTATATAAATTTCTAGCTGTAATAAAGCACCAAAGATTTACTATAATTTCAAATTATAATATTTAAATAATAAGAAAGTATTTTGAGTAATTTTTAAAAAATTAAACTTTTTAATTGTATTTTTTAATCAAAACAGATTTAATTTAATACTTTATCAATTGACAAGAAATTAATTTGTAAGTGAAAAAATTCTTTAGGTAATTAAAATTTTATTAAGATTTTGGAAAGAGCATTTTTCAAACTTAAATGCTTTATTCCAAAAAGAAAAATTTCTAGAACATTTATTAGAATTGTTTTAAACTGTTGTAATACTAATAATAAATATATCACAAAGTACATTAAGAATTAAATTGTAAAATTAATTGTAATGTAGATTACAATAAATGATAAATTAATTTTATGGAAACAAATGTAAAGTAAATTCTAGTTTATAAAATTTAAATTTAAATTTTGTTATTTGTAATAATACTTCCTTTACACTACTACATTTACATTCAGATGGTTAATTAAATATTTGAGACAATGCATTATATTTTGAATAATCACCTTCGGAAGATTTGTAGCTGCCACGCCTAAATCTTCACTATTTAAATGGATGTGCATGTTATTATCTGATCCATATCTGATGCCAATACGATCACCTATCTACAATTATTATTATTTATTATTAAAAATATATAAATAGTATTTTATTACTTTTATATGCAAATATTTCTTACCACAAGTCTTTCAAGAGATGGCCCATAATTATCTTTAATAAGTACTCCATTTCTTTTAATCTGAGTGCCAACATAAAACCAAGTATCACATGACTGAAGTTCGCTAACTGTTGAAGGAAGAGAAAGCTGATTGTTACAATTTGCAGGTGAAAATGTAGTTAAACCAATCAGAATTGATCCAGCCCATTGATTATTTAACTGATCTATCTGCATCTGAAATAATAATTTTAAATATGATTAAACTAGTGTCATTACTGTAAAAAGTCAAACCGATTATTATATTATTATTATTCTACATAGATATACTATCAATAAAATGTATTCAAATAATACTGGACAAAAATCCTCATCTGCAAAAATTAAATAAATTCAAAATACAAAAACAGACATTTTATATCTTATGGAACAAACAATCATTAACAATTTTAATAATTTGGCCTTCCAGTATACAAATTCTTATTGTCAATATAGCATTCTTCTGTTATATATGAAAATGTATTGTTATATAGGAATATTCAATAATAGAAAACAAATATCATTTATTTTTCTACAACAAACTATTTTACAGTAATCTTTGATTTTTTTTAATATCATTTAATTTGTTTCTTGTCTCCCTGAATGATTTGTTTATGTACAGATAATCTCAAAAATCTAAGTAATATGAAACACATGATCACCATCATTTAGTAACCACTAGTGTCTTGTGTGTGTGAGACTGTTAAGTTTAAAGATGTTCATTATCTTCCCTATTCTGTACAAAACAGCAATCAGTGATTGAATTTTTAACAGTGCAAAATTGAGCATAAAGGAAATAACAATCAATTCAGTGAAGTATTGTAAAACTTTATAAGAACTCACAAAATGTATTCACAAAATATAATCAGAAAGACTTGACTTGTAACAGTCTGGATTTGACACCATCAGACTTTTGGATGTTCCCACAGTTAAAGAGAATATCAAAATATCAACACTTTTCATTAGATGCTGAAGTTCAAGTTGCTGAAGTTCAAGTTCAAAAAAGCCTAAAAGTTTTTCATGAAAAAAAATGCAAAAATAAATAGAACATTTGGAAAAATGTATCAAACTAAATGATGATTATATTGAAAAATGTATACATATAATTGAAATAAATGACTTTTAGTACTTTTTATAACTGATTAAATTATTTAACATCTTCCCAAATTAATTTTATTAAAATGGAATCTTATTTATCAATCCCTCATATATTCATATATAATTATTATTAATCTTTTGATAATTGAAATTACCTAAGAATATCTGCAAATTTAGGAATTTATCTATTATTATTAAACAGAATGACTGAAAAGTCAGTTAACTGAATTATAATGACTGATTAAAATTGATTTGAAACAGTTGCATTTTATTATAGATGATTAAGGGCAGGATTTAAAATTGCAATTTATGTGCATACATATGCACATAAAAATCCAGATATATGTACTGCTATGTGGACATTAAAATGCTTGAAATATGCATTATGCATGTGAAAAGTGCCAGTAATATACACTAAAATTTGTAGGTTGAAATGCATACATACTTTATTCCTGTCTGAAAGTAAATTTTATTAATTGAACTGCAAGTTGAAAAAATTGTAGACCTATAATTTCCAACTGTCATCCGTCTGTCAGTCTTTCCTTAATCTCGAGAACAGAAAAATAGATGAAATTTGAGACTAGATGTGAAAAGCTTAGGAACAGGAGGCCCTGATTAACTGTATACAAACTTCTGATGCAAACTGAAAGTAATGTTATTTCAATTAAAAAATTTTCCCCTGTAAGTAGTTAGATAGATGACAGCATGACTCTGTTCCTAACAGGAAAATTATTGTGTATAGGGGCAAGACACTACTAATTTGAGGTGGAGAGCATATATTTTAAATTAAATAAATTAAAAATATGATTAAAAATTGCAGCCTGGCATTGTGATGATGTCATAATAAATAATTGCTCATATCTATTATGTCACACTTTTTTGATGGGAGGGAATAAACATGCAACAACAAGTAACACAAGAGAGTTGAAAATTATAATGTTGCAAAACACAGTAATTATAGCAATAGAGCAAGAAAACAAAGTTACAAGTAAATTTGTGTTTACTCCAATTTAGATTTTTATGACAAGAATGCACTTTCTAGTGAATTAGATATTTCAATTTACATATTTACAAGGAAAAAGTAGTATAGGTTACTTAGGATTCATCATTGATGGAAGAGGATGTAACAACTTTTCTCAATATTTGTGAATAATCAATTGTAGTTAATAAGAAGTTAATATACCTAAGATTGTATTCATTTCTGAAATCAAGAAATCTAATTCTGTATTCATTAATGCAACAATTGTCATCAGCATATAGAATTGTTGATTGTTTTGGGATCACCTCAAATATATAATAAAAAAGTTGCATAAAACCAATGATAGCACTGATCCCTGTAGTAAACCATTAACTGTAGTAAATGAACATGAGATAAAAGGATTTGCTATTTTATAAATATGATTTCAGATAAGATAAACAATTATCCCAAAGGCCATTAAAATAAATTTTAAGTTTTCATAACTGCAGATCTACCAAGTCACATGTTTTTGACAAATCCACCAAGCCATTAGAGCCAAGTTATAACTCTAAATTATAAGTTATATTGTAATGTAAAAAAAGTTAGTGTGTGTAATGTTAAAGTCTGTTTAAACATAAATTGGTACCCATTAATAATTTTATACTTCATAAAGGAGTAATTTAGGCTTGTATAGAAAAGTTTTTCAAATATTTTCACAACTTGTTGGTTTTAGCTTAAAAACAAGCTTTAAAAACAATAAAATTCTTGATTTCATATTTATATAAAGTATATAACTTTTCTTTACTTCACAACTGTGTACTTAGGTAGACACTGGGCATCTTTAACATCACACAAAGAGTGATGTTAAAGATGCCCAGTGTCAACCTAAGCACCCAGTTGTGAAGTAAAGACTAATTAAAAGAAAATACAGCTTTGGAATTTTAAAAAGTATTTTCACAACAACTGGGATTTAACAATAGATCTGTAATTATTAATTTGTTTCAAATTACCATTTTTATAAACAGATAAAACTAAATTATTTGTTAAGCAGTCTGGGAAAATTTCCTCTTGTATAGATTTATTTATGAGGAAAAATAAAGAAAAGACAATTACATTGGCTAACTGTTTTAAAATAAATGTGGATATACCATCAACATCCAGAATATTACAAAAAAGACATTTAACATGTTTATAAACTTCTAAAGGATCTGCATATTCAAATGTGAACAAGCCACTTTGAAAACCATTCCATATGGAATAACTACTGGAGTAACTACTAATAATGCCTAAGTGGTACGTCTAGTAGGAAACCAACTCATCATAATATTAAATCAATAAATATAACATCTATAACAATTTTAATTTAATTAATTCAAAGGATTTTTAAATTTTGAAAAATGAGAGATTTCAATGGCAATGCAAAACATTTTTATTTTTGAGAATGTAAAAGAATGCAAGTTAGATGGTTCAGATTTAAAACATTTGTTTATCTAAACTTGGAAGGCAGTGATATTTCTCACATAAACTGTACATACAAAAAAATATTTATATAATTCTACTTAATATATTGGAATTATCAAAAATGAACTACAGATCATTTAATATAAAAAAAAAATAGCACTTACACCATGAAAATAAGCCATAAAGCTTAGAAAGCACTTATTTAGTCACAAAAATGGTTAAATTTGCAAAATACATAATAAAAATCATAATGCATATTCTGTATGCATTATTGAAAATCTTAATTTGATTCACTTAGACCCAGATTATGTCTATATTGAGGTTTCAACATCATAGCATTTAATAAAAAACATTCTTGTACAGTACATACAAACCTGACTCTTATTCATTCATGATTCATTGTAAATGAACAAACCCCAAATAGCAGTATAAATCTATTCCAAACTGTTCTAAAATAATCTTAAAAAATACACACAATTTTTGGACCCCACTGTATAAATTTTAAAATAATGTGTGTTTCTCTTAACCATTATAAATTAAAGAAATTTTAAAAAATTGTTTTTTCTAGAAAACTTTTTGGAAAGATTGAAGAAGACCAATCCAGAAGATTTTTTTTTTGTCAAAAACACCTAAAAAGACAGCAAGAACATTTGCTGTTAGCTTATAGCAACCAATTCTTTATAAAACAATTTTATTTTATGGTATATTTATTTAAATAATCATAAAATATACATTACTTACTTCAAATAATTCATCCACCTCAAGAAAAGAAGAACTAAACACAAGACCATTGTTATATCCTCTTATTCTGCAGGCAATAGTATTATTATTGCGTAGAGTTATGTTTTTACCACAATAATTATTAAAATGTTGACTTGATTCTGAAAATAATAATTAAAATTCTTCTCTACATTACAATAAAAAAATTATTATTTTAATGTTATTAACATTTACCTATCTTACATAATGGTTCTTTGATTATTTTTTTCTACAATTCTTATTTTGTAATGTAAAATTTTATGTTTTACAATAATAATTTACAAAAATAAAATGATTTGTATCACTTCTTATAATATAAAAAATTTAATTTCAATTCAATTCAATTGTAAATTTAAGTAAATTTAAATGAAATAATTTTCAGAACCATTGTAAAAATAAGATGATATTTTTAAAGTTATTTTGATATAAATAAATAAAGAATGCATCAATAACGGTAGCAAATGATGTAATAATGGTAGTATATGGTTATTTAATATATTAGAATTATCATTAATTTCTACAAAATATTTTTTCAAATTTATTTCTTATTTTTTGATGAAGTTTAAAATTAAATACAGGCAGTTCTCAACTTTTGAATCAGATGTATGCTAAAAATGTATATGAAAGTCAAATGTCTAAAAGACAAACAATAGAGTTGCAAGTAATGAAGTTTCATTCCTAGAAAGTTAAAAAACATAAATTATAAAGGCTGTTATTGAGATAGGAAAGTTTGTTTTTTACAGAAACTATGCATAAAACATTATTGCAAACAGTAAAAACATATATTAAACAAAAAAACAGATAAGAAAAATTAATTTTCACAAATGATTTTATGCTACCGACATCAAAACTGACAGAAAGCACAACTGCTTGATAGTTTGAAATATTTTGTCTGTCAGTATTTGATATATAAAAACAATCTAGAAATATCAAAATATTATATAAAAACATGCAAGTTGTCTAAAAGTCAAGGACCATCTGTAATTTAATTTAATAAAGTATTAAATGTCTGAAATTTGAGAAAATAAATAAAATTCTACTCTAATACATGCAAAGTTTTGTCAAACTGTCATAAAAATATTTGACCAAAGAAGAAAAATTCAAATAAAAAGATTATTGTTTTCTGACTGTACAATTAAACTAGATACTGTCAAAAAAATATCATTACAATTATAATCACACTAATGCAAATCTATCTATCTTTCAGTATAGAATTGTGTATTGAAGAAGTTATAAAAAACTTTGTATTCAATTTTTTCAATTATATAAATTTTGATATTTTTTAATAGCTGAATTTTTTAAATAGCTGAATTTTTTAATAGCTGATATAACTGAAATAGTTAACAATCAGCTGCTTTATGTAGACAGTTAATTGGTAAAACCACAATTGATGCATTCTTATGGGTATCACTAGAAGTGTTAATATTAAACAGATTCCTAACATACCAGAAAGAGTAAATCTCAAAACTCATGTACACCATTTAAAACAAAAAAATTCACAGATTATCCTCAAAAATAAAAATAAAAATAATTTAATATTTTAATAAAAAAAAATTAGATTTTAATTTTATTGTTGTAATTATTATTTAGTAATTTGATTACATTCTTTCTAATAAAATAATGAAAAAATTTATGTTAATGAAATTTAAAGTTAAGTTTATTGACTCCTGGTACAGAATCTAATCAAGTTACTTAAATTAAATTAATGAAATTCTAATTCTGTTAATACTTCAAAAATTAAAATTATCCTAAAATATATAAAAAATAAAACTTAATTTTTACAGTTAAATAACAATTTAAGTGACTTGATCAAGTAATTCTTTATCTATTAATAATAAAATGCTTGTGATTATAATTATAAATATTTTTTATTATTCTGAAATTTGTTTATTCTTTTATTAGAAAGAATAGTTTTTAAGAAATTAAAACTTAAAATTTAAAAATAAAATTCCGATCATAAATTTACAAAATTTATGAAGTTATACATTAATATTCAATTGAATCATTTGATTATTAATATATTAACTTCCGTAAAACAAAATCCCATAATTCCATTATAAGGAATATACATCCACACCAGTCCAAGAAAACCTGAAGACCAACCATTGCCCAGAGCAACAGGATCAGAAACCTGAGGGCTGGCTGGCAGGAATGGACTGCTGGGTAAACAGTGGTTTAGTGATACTTGGGCACACTGGCCATATAAGTCAATCACCGCATACACATCTGAAACAAAAAAGAGAAACGACAGGCGTTATCATCAAAATATAAAAATTAAATCGTGTTCCGATTAAAAAATTATTAATTGCAAGTTTCGGTTTGTGAAAAATGAGATTTACGCACCTGGTGGTATATTACTACAGGCCGTGCCCTGATCCTCACCATTTATATAATAATGTAAGGTACCGTCCGAATGACGCATCATACCCATTGTGGTTCCTGCCGTCAGCTGGTCCAGATCACATTTGTAACTGTGCTGTATTGTCATTCCATCTTGCATGACGACACATCCGCTGTTTAAAAGACAAATGAATGAATATATTTCTGATTCAATAAGAAATAAAGCAGTAAATACTAATATTTGAACCTGAGCATCCAAGTGTCATGATCTATATCAGTCATTGTGCTTGGAAAATCTAATTCTTCAGGAGGTATTGTTGTCACACCTATTAGATTTATAATTTATTGACATAAGTAAACTGTAAATTAAGATGTAATTTATGATTAATAAAACAAAACATTTAATAACTAAAATAACAAAACAAACCTGCTTCAATAGATCCAGACCACCTATCGACAATTTCCTCGACAATAACTTCAAACATTTCTCCTTCTCGCAAAGGCCTGTTACTAACAACTATTGCATCATTAAATTCACCTTGTGCATTTGGCCTTTTCGCAGTAAGACCATTGTTTAATATTCTAGCATTACGTCCATGCAGATGATGAAACTTTAAATCACTTCCCATTGTCACACTTGTTGAACCTTCACAAGACATTGGTGGAGTAGTGGAAGAACTATTTGACTCTAAAATTATTATATTAGCTTTTAATAAGTAACAATTAAAATTTTTAAAGATAANAGCAGCAACATTAAAATGCACAGGTACACACTGAAAGCAACTTACTTCAGATAGCTATATTATGCATATTATTTTAAATAAATATTTAAATAGCAGACACTAAAAATAAATTTGTCATTTATAAAATTTAAATTTAAATTTTGTTATTTGTAATAATACTTCCTTTACACTACTACATTTACATTCAGATGGTTAATTAAATATTTGAGACAATGCATTATATTTTGAATAATCACCTTCGGAAGATTTGTAGCTGCCACGCCTAAATCTTCACTATTTAAATGGATGTGCATGTTATTATCTGATCCATATCTGATGCCAATACGATCACCTATCTACAATTATTATTATTTATTATTAAAAATATATAAATAGTATTTTATTACTTTTATATGCAAATATTTCTTACCACAAGTCTTTCAAGAGATGGCCCATAATTATCTTTAATAAGTACTCCATTTCTTTTAATCTGAGTGCCAACATAAAACCAAGTATCACATGACTGAAGTTCGCTAACTGTTGAAGGAAGAGAAAGCTGATTGTTACAATTTGCAGGTGAAAATGTAGTTAAACCAATCAGAATTGATCCAGCCCATTGATTATTTAACTGATCTATCTGCATCTGAAATAATAATTTTAAATATGATTAAACTAGTGTCATTACTGTAAAAAGTCAAACCGATTATTATATTATTATTATTCTACATAGATATACTATCAATAAAATGTATTCAAATAATACTGGACAAAAATCCTCATCTGCAAAAATTAAATAAATTCAAAATACAAAAACAGACATTTTATATCTTATGGAACAAACAATCATTAACAATTTTAATAATTTGGCCTTCCAGTATACAAATTCTTATTGTCAATATAGCATTCTTCTGTTATATATGAAAATGTATTGTTATATAGGAATATTCAATAATAGAAAACAAATATCATTTATTTTTCTACAACAAACTATTTTACAGTAATCTTTGATTTTTTTTAATATCATTTAATTTGTTTCTTGTCTCCCTGAATGATTTGTTTATGTACAGATAATCTCAAAAATCTAAGTAATATGAAACACATGATCACCATCATTTAGTAACCACTAGTGTCTTGTGTGTGTGAGACTGTTAAGTTTAAAGATGTTCATTATCTTCCCTATTCTGTACAAAACAGCAATCAGTGATTGAATTTTTAACAGTGCAAAATTGAGCATAAAGGAAATAACAATCAATTCAGTGAAGTATTGTAAAACTTTATAAGAACTCACAAAATGTATTCACAAAATATAATCAGAAAGACTTGACTTGTAACAGTCTGGATTTGACACCATCAGACTTTTGGATGTTCCCACAGTTAAAGAGAATATCAAAATATCAACACTTTTCATTAGATGCTGAAGTTCAAGTTGCTGAAGTTCAAGTTCAAAAAAGCCTAAAAGTTTTTCATGAAAAAAAATGCAAAAATAAATAGAACATTTGGAAAAATGTATCAAACTAAATGATGATTATATTGAAAAATGTATACATATAATTGAAATAAATGACTTTTAGTACTTTTTATAACTGATTAAATTATTTAACATCTTCCCAAATTAATTTTATTAAAATGGAATCTTATTTATCAATCCCTCATATATTCATATATAATTATTATTAATCTTTTGATAATTGAAATTACCTAAGAATATCTGCAAATTTAGGAATTTATCTATTATTATTAAACAGAATGACTGAAAAGTCAGTTAACTGAATTATAATGACTGATTAAAATTGATTTGAAACAGTTGCATTTTATTATAGATGATTAAGGGCAGGATTTAAAATTGCAATTTATGTGCATACATATGCACATAAAAATCCAGATATATGTACTGCTATGTGGACATTAAAATGCTTGAAATATGCATTATGCATGTGAAAAGTGCCAGTAATATACACTAAAATTTGTAGGTTGAAATGCATACATACTTTATTCCTGTCTGAAAGTAAATTTTATTAATTGAACTGCAAGTTGAAAAAATTGTAGACCTATAATTTCCAACTGTCATCCGTCTGTCAGTCTTTCCTTAATCTCGAGAACAGAAAAATAGATGAAATTTGAGACTAGATGTGAAAAGCTTAGGAACAGGAGGCCCTGATTAACTGTATACAAACTTCTGATGCAAACTGAAAGTAATGTTATTTCAATTAAAAAATTTTCCCCTGTAAGTAGTTAGATAGATGACAGCATGACTCTGTTCCTAACAGGAAAATTATTGTGTATAGGGGCAAGACACTACTAATTTGAGGTGGAGAGCATATATTTTAAATTAAATAAATTAAAAATATGATTAAAAATTGCAGCCTGGCATTGTGATGATGTCATAATAAATAATTGCTCATATCTATTATGTCACACTTTTTTGATGGGAGGGAATAAACATGCAACAACAAGTAACACAAGAGAGTTGAAAATTATAATGTTGCAAAACACAGTAATTATAGCAATAGAGCAAGAAAACAAAGTTACAAGTAAATTTGTGTTTACTCCAATTTAGATTTTTATGACAAGAATGCACTTTCTAGTGAATTAGATATTTCAATTTACATATTTACAAGGAAAAAGTAGTATAGGTTACTTAGGATTCATCATTGATGGAAGAGGATGTAACAACTTTTCTCAATATTTGTGAATAATCAATTGTAGTTAATAAGAAGTTAATATACCTAAGATTGTATTCATTTCTGAAATCAAGAAATCTAATTCTGTATTCATTAATGCAACAATTGTCATCAGCATATAGAATTGTTGATTGTTTTGGGATCACCTCAAATATATAATAAAAAAGTTGCATAAAACCAATGATAGCACTGATCCCTGTAGTAAACCATTAACTGTAGTAAATGAACATGAGATAAAAGGATTTGCTATTTTATAAATATGATTTCAGATAAGATAAACAATTATCCCAAAGGCCATTAAAATAAATTTTAAGTTTTCATAACTGCAGATCTACCAAGTCACATGTTTTTGACAAATCCACCAAGCCATTAGAGCCAAGTTATAACTCTAAATTATAAGTTATATTGTAATGTAAAAAAAGTTAGTGTGTGTAATGTTAAAGTCTGTTTAAACATAAATTGGTACCCATTAATAATTTTATACTTCATAAAGGAGTAATTTAGGCTTGTATAGAAAAGTTTTTCAAATATTTTCACAACTTGTTGGTTTTAGCTTAAAAACAAGCTTTAAAAACAATAAAATTCTTGATTTCATATTTATATAAAGTATATAACTTTTCTTTACTTCACAACTGTGTACATAGGTAGACACTGGGCATCTTTAACATCACACAAAGAGTGATGTTAAAGATGCCCAGTGTCAACCTAAGCACCCAGTTGTGAAGTAAAGACTAATTAAAAGAAAATACAGCTTTGGAATTTTAAAAAGTATTTTCACAACAACTGGGATTTAACAATAGATCTGTAATTATTAATTTGTTTCAAATTACCATTTTTATAAACAGATAAAACTAAATTATTTGTTAAGCAGTCTGGGAAAATTTCCTCTTGTATAGATTTATTTATGAGGAAAAATAAAGAAAAGACAATTACATTGGCTAACTGTTTTAAAATAAATGTGGATATACCATCAACATCCAGAATATTACAAAAAAGACATTTAACATGTTTATAAACTTCTAAAGGATCTGCATATTCAAATGTGAACAAGCCACTTTGAAAACCATTCCATATGGAATAACTACTGGAGTAACTACTAATAATGCCTAAGTGGTACGTCTAGTAGGAAACCAACTCATCATAATATTAAATCAATAAATATAACATCTATAACAATTTTAATTTAATTAATTCAAAGGATTTTTAAATTTTGAAAAATGAGAGATTTCAATGGCAATGCAAAACATTTTTATTTTTGAGAATGTAAAAGAATGCAAGTTAGATGGTTCAGATTTAAAACATTTGTTTATCTAAACTTGGAAGGCAGTGATATTTCTCACATAAACTGTACATACAAAAAAATATTTATATAATTCTACTTAATATATTGGAATTATCAAAAATGAACTACAGATCATTTAATATAAAAAAAAAATAGCACTTACACCATGAAAATAAGCCATAAAGCTTAGAAAGCACTTATTTAGTCACAAAAATGGTTAAATTTGCAAAATACATAATAAAAATCATAATGCATATTCTGTATGCATTATTGAAAATCTTAATTTGATTCACTTAGACCCAGATTATGTCTATATTGAGGTTTCAACATCATAGCATTTAATAAAAAACATTCTTGTACAGTACATACAAACCTGACTCTTATTCATTCATGATTCATTGTAAATGAACAAACCCCAAATAGCAGTATAAATCTATTCCAAACTGTTCTAAAATAATCTTAAAAAATACACACAATTTTTGGACCCCACTGTATAAATTTTAAAATAATGTGTGTTTCTCTTAACCATTATAAATTAAAGAAATTTTAAAAAATTGTTTTTTCTAGAAAACTTTTTGGAAAGATTGAAGAAGACCAATCCAGAAGATTTTTTTTTTGTCAAAAACACCTAAAAAGACAGCAAGAACATTTGCTGTTAGCTTATAGCAACCAATTCTTTATAAAACAATTTTATTTTATGGTATATTTATTTAAATAATCATAAAATATACATTACTTACTTCAAATAATTCATCCACCTCAAGAAAAGAAGAACTAAACACAAGACCATTGTTATATCCTCTTATTCTGCAGGCAATAGTATTATTATTGCGTAGAGTTATGTTTTTACCACAATAATTATTAAAATGTTGACTTGATTCTGAAAATAATAATTAAAATTCTTCTCTACATTACAATAAAAAAATTATTATTTTAATGTNTAGGAATAGGTTACAAAATAAATTCAAATTAATATGTCTGGAAGCAAGATCTGAATATCACAACTTGTAAGATGTCTGTCTGTTATGGAAGAGTTCTGGATTTAAATCAGTTACAGAGTGATTTTAAGAATTCTTTATTTAAATTCAAAATTAATTTCTAATTAACAATATTCATACAAGACAGCAGTATCAATACTTACTTTTAGATCAAATCTTGATATTAATTACTTAAAATTAGACTTAACAAAGCCTAAAAGTAATCTAAAAGTTTTGAACATTCAAGAATTATTTGCAATAAATATGTATCTAACATGTTTATATCTATAGTATTTTAAATTTAATAATAAAAAAGGAGATATATTATATTTAACTGCAGAAGAATTTTGTTCTAAAAAATGGTTATAATATTGTTATATTAGTATCTCATTTGAATAATGATTCAATATATCAAATACTTTAGATACACATCAGGCAGTGTAAATAACACTTAATTTAATTTTGTATAGTAATTAGTGTTTCCAAGTTTAATCAATATTTTATTAAATGTTTCATATTTAACAGGAATATAATTTGCTTTAAAGAAAACAGTAAATATTTTGAATTTGAAAGTTTTATGAAAAATTAATTCTAAAATAACAATTAAAAATCAGTATATGTCAAATTTATTTTTAGATAATTAGAAGTAATTAAATTTTTAATTTATAAATAATCTTCAACTACACTTTATGTATATAGGCTACTCATTTCTATACCTTCATCTCCAAGAGAATTCCCTTTTGTTTATTCTCTATTTGCAAATATATTCATGCAAATAAATCATGATGGCAATGCTAATAAAATATTCAGTCAATGATATAATTGAGTTCTGAAACTAATAACATGCTTTTCACATTCCAGCATATTGGCATTAATCCAATTTTCATATAATGGAGATAATAAAAATCATTTATTTATATTTTCATTTATATTCATTCATGCTCCAAATTCTTATCAAACTGTGATTTTTGTCATCTAATAACATTCATATAGCAATTTCTTTTATCAACATTGTCTTTCAACAGATAATGTAAATTTAAAATGTATTATATAAATATAAATTTATTACTCACCTTTAATCGATCCAAATTATGGCCATAATCATCAATGATATTTGTACCATTGTACATGATACCATTTCCAGTCATCATCCATGTTCCTGAACGAATATTTGTCATAGTAGAAGGAAACTCTAATTCATTCGGGGAATGAGTTGTTACACCAATTTCAATAGAACCTGCCCATTTCACTACTAATTTTTCAATAACTACTTCAAACATCTCTCCCTTTTTTAAAGGTCTTGATGTGAGAATGACTGCATTGTTAAAATCTTCAAGAGCACTAGATTAAAAAGAATTGAAATTTAATTCAAAATTCTAACAAATAAAAAAAAATCTATTTATTAGATCTTGCTTACTTAGGTCGATGTGCTGTTCTACCATTATTGATTACTGCTGCATGTTCACCACATTTTGTATGAAAAGTTAATTTATTTGGATCTGCAGTCAAACCATCTAAAAATAAATAAAAATCTTATTCTTAGTAAAAAATTATCTTCAACTAAATTATGCATACTTTTTTAATGCTTTAAATTTATTTTCATACCTGTTGCACATTCATTCAAAGTTTCAACAACTGACACAGAATCATTTGATTGATCTGGAGATGATGCATCAGAATCAACAATTGTAACTTTCACAGTCATGCCATACAGATCAACAACTCCATGAACAACAGCTGGTACATTATCAGCAGCTATACCTTGATCTAATCCATTGATATAATAATGAAGATTTCCATTTGATTTACGAATTAAACCTATCCTATCTCCTTCCTAAAATAAAAATAATTAACTTCCATTTCAGTTTTTCTTCTGTTTTGTTTAATATATGATGATACATTCAAATATATTTATTTGAGAAAAAAAATACATATATTTTATAATTCATTATTGCTTGCATTTTTACATATTTCATGAGATTTTACAAAATGGAGTTCCAAGACTAATTGGAAAACTGAAGTAATTCACCACTAACATGTCAATCAAAAAGCTTTAATTGAATTCCAGCAAGACCTAATTCAAAATAGAACTTTTGGACTAATGTTTTCAATCTACAATGCAGATCTTCAGAAGCATTCCATCATCAAATATACAAACCTGAAAATCTCCATTTATAGAGTGAGAACGTTAGTCCAAAAGTTTTATTTCAAATTATATCTTGCTGGAACTCAATTAAAACTCTTTGATAGATGTATTTATTTATTTTATAAAATNGTTCTTCATTTTCAAAATTGTTTTATACATTTATTATATATATAAAAGAACTAATTTTGATAATTATTTATATGAAGTTTCATATGACAATTAATAAAATCAAATTTTACATATATGAGTCATTGAAAATTAAAGTTGTATCAGTCAGTTTTCCAAAAGATCATGTTATTGCTGAGTTTCAGTTCCTGACAGCATTATTCACATATTTGTTGTAAAGAAACAAGAATATTTACGTTACTTACCACAGGTAAAAGCATTTAACAATAAATCCACAGTAATTTTTAAATCAGTACTTAACTTTAGGTCTAAATTTCTCAGTACAAATGAAAAAATGATTTATACCACTTTCACTTTCAACAGTTCATATATTTTATGAATTTTAATACAATAATTTAGAAAAATAATATTGAACAGAATTAAACAAAAAATTTTAAAAAGAATTTTTTTGAGAACTATAAAAGGGTTTTATATCGAAAAGCATAATTTAATATATAATTGTAAATACTGGTGGTTTCATTTCTTAATTTCAAACATCAATAGGATAAGTTAAGTAAGTTCTATTTCATACTTTAATGTAAACTAAGATCATAACAATGACTAGTACTATTTTGAATGACTATGACATCTTTTGGTATTTTTTAAAAATTTCATACATAACAATCTTAAAAAATAATAACACATTAACAAGGTTACCTGAATGATAAACAATAGAAGCTTGAGCTGCTTGTCCATATAAATCTATAACTCCATAAACTTTTTCAGGTATGTTGGTGGCTGCTGGACCCTGATCGATCCCATCAACAAAAAAATGTAGAGTTCCTGTGGCTGTTCTCAAAACTCCAACACGATCTCCTACCTATAAAATTAAAATTCAATGAAATCTAAATAATTTAATAATGGTTATTTTGAACAAACAAACAATTATTTTATGAAAGTATGGAAATACAAAATAATTTAAAATTATAACATACATTATTTGAAAATAGAACAATCTATCTTCAAATGATGGATAATAAAACAGAAGCAAGCAAATTTTTTTCTCTGTACATTCATTATATTTTTATATTTTTTAAAATGTGCAGTACATACCATTGGCCAAGTTTTAACTGTTTACTTAGATCTTAAAGATGTTTACTTTTGGAATTTTTAAGAAACATTGTTCAAATTGTAATCCACTAAGAAACAAATTTTATGAAAAAGTCTCCTTCTTTTAAATTAATTTTTTATTAATTTAATTTCAAAACAAATCTAGCATTGCTCAATTTGTTTTGATAAAAACTTCATTATTTACTGCTGTTGTAATCTGAGATTCAGCTTCTGATTTATTAATTTCAAAACTTTAACAGTCTTACTGAATGACATTTTTAATAAAAACAATAAGCACACTGACTATGAAGAAAAGAAAAATAAAAGAATCAATGTTTGAAGCATTCAAGTTTTCTTTTTGGAACACATGACTTTCAATGCTTTTTTTCTTCTGCCCAAATTGCAGTCAAAAATTATCTTTCTTATTATTTATTAATAAATAAATAAATACATACAGTACGGGCATTAATTCTGACACTTTTCATAGATTTTGTAAACTTCATTTATACTCATGAATTTTGTATAACATTTAATATTTTAATCAAAGAATAATATATTACACTATTTTCTGCTTAGTTTGACATCATAATTTTGGAAAACTTTAGTAAAATTATTTAGTAAAACAACAGTTTTACAAGAATGCTTTATTTATAATATTAACACATGTAAACTGGAACGATATACTACAAACAACAATTAACAAGTTGACTGCTGGAAGTAGTATTGAGGTGTTAATTGTTGTTTGTATTTATAATATTTCATATGAAATACATTCCATAAAGTAAAACAGTTTATTTTTAATTAATATTTTGTTGAATACCCTTTTCCTTTTATCACTGTCTCAAATCTCATGCATTGAATCCACAGATGCCTGAGATTTTCTGGTGTGATTACCCCGAACCAAGTTTGATGATGGCTTCTATCAACTCTGTTTTGTTACTGGGATTGTGGCTTGACACCAACACTTTCAGCCTGGACCACAGATTTTCTATCAAATTTAGATCAAAACTATTTTCTGGCCAATTCAGGATAGTAATATTTTGGTCCCTAAATCACTTTAGGCAACTTCTGGCTGTATGACATGTATCTTTCAGCAGAACGGTGCTCCATCCTGCTGAAAGATGCATTGCTGACGGTCGCCTTCAAACAAATCTCTGATGGTGGGGAGCAGTTTTGCTTCCAACACTGCTTCCTGGTATTTTTTTGTGTCAAAGCTGTCATTTATGACAGCAAGATGTTCAATACCATGTCTGGCCATGCAAGCCCATACCATTACAGTCACAGGATGCTTGCTTCATGATGTCCTTAGTGCACTCGAGCAAAAAGTCTTCACTGGCTCCACATCAAACAAACTTCACTCCATCATTCCAGAGATACAAATTTTTGTCTTGTCACTGCAAATAATCTTGCCTCAATCTTCATGTGTCCGATCCTTGTATGCCAGAGCACAATCAATACATTTCTGCCTTTGTTTTTTTTTTTTTTTGTTGAGATATGGCTTCTTTCTTGGTGTCCTCACTCATAGACCATTGTCACAATTTTTTCCTAATGGTCTGTCAGCAATTTGCATGCTAGATGTCTTCAGGATATTGTTTATGTCTTTTAACGATCTGTGACAGTTTTGCAGGGACAGACGACAGATTCGGCACACATCATATACAGTTATTTTTAGTTTTCTGCCTGTTCTTGGGGCTGTTTTTGTCAATCTAGTCTCACAGAAGAATTTGCAAACTTTTCTCATATCTGACTTTGTAGCCCCACTATCCAACTGTATTGCTATTTCTTCATATGTGTTGCATTCCTCACAAAAGATAATTGCTTTGCTTCTCTTTTGCTGGAGACCAATTAGCACATTTTCTGTTAGGAGTCATAATTTAAATAATAACATCTCAAAGCCTGAGTAGTATACAATAAGTCACCAAACGATCGCCTAAATATTGGGCTATAATAAGGCTAATTAAATGATTGGAATAAAGTAATTTGACACTAGACGTAGATGTTAGGCACCATCTCTTAAGTAAATTAATAATTATAATTAAATAAATAAATTATTAAATAAATTTAGAACCTTCTGGAATAAACGAACTGGCCTGGGACGGGGCTCGAACCCGTTATTATAGCCTGATATTTAGGCATCATTTGGTGATTTATTGTCATAATTTAAGTTTTTCACATCTACATCACTCAAAAATTCAGAGATCTCTTTTGTCAATGATAATAGCAGACTAAAATTGACAAAACTGTCAGATATGGTTGCTCAAACTTTCCTGATTGGAATGTGATACATACCTATGCACAGCCCTGTGACTGGTTGAAATAAACATGTGATTTTCGATATTGCTACTGCCACTGTTCAAGAAGATAATTCAGAAATTCTTGTGTAAAAAAATTATTACTAACTTTTTAAACTTGTTATATATTGAATAAAGATATCTTAAATATATGATAAAAATGATGATTTAAATATCAGAAATGCATTTTTATGATAATACAAATAAAAATGTCATAAATTAATACCAATTACTAGTGTCCAGAATCAATGCCACTACTGTATATTAAATATTGATAATACAATATCATTATTTTGTATTATTTTACATTAACTTTTTACAACATTACATTCAATAACTTATAGATTCTTGTAATTACTCCTTCTGCCATTAGAAACATCCTACACAACTGAAATCATAACATCTGTTATGTCATCAGCTGATCTGTAAAATGACATATAAAAATCGTGAAAATGAGTCAGCCCAAATGAGCACTATTGTTAGTTCTTTATGAAATATTCTTTGTCTCATAAATTTTATCTTGTGCCATTCTGGATTAATTTCAAGCCATAAAAATAAGGCATTAAAAACTAATACATCAACATTGTAAAAAAAATTGTTGTCAGCAATTGTTTTGTTTGTCTTCTGCAAACATTAAAATAAATTTATCTAACAAATCAACAGCACCTTTGGTTTTATTATAACACATGATCATAATAGGCTACTATGATTTAAAGAGAATCATAATGCATTGTACTCATAAGTGTTACAGTTTTATTCATGACATATAAAACCATGAATTATTTGCAAAATATGGTTTTAAAGGAAAAATTTTTTTCTTGTTTTTGAGACTCTCTTGATAATTCTGACTTATTTTTCTGACAGTACCTAATACTGTCTTATTTCTGTTCAAAAGCAAATGTTCCAATTAGTGAGATGTAGTAAATATAAACTGCAGCTATGGATATTCAAAATTAATACAAAAACTTTTGTTTGCAACAAACAGTTTTAATTACAAACATTTTAAGTCTTTTTTAAAGACCATCTTCATATTCTATTCTTTCTTTCACTTTGTTCAATTCTGTACTTTACGTGAAGATGGTATTTAAAAAAGACCAAAAACATTGAAATTAAACTGTTTTGCTACAAACAAAGGTTTTTGTGTGAATTTAGTAATGTAAAAAATATTATCACAAGTTACATTACTAAGTAAGTAAGATCTAAAAACAACTTGTCCTAGTTTTCAGATAGTGCTTTGGGAAACTTACCGCTATATATTTATATGCATATGCATTTTCTGAATCACACATCATGTTGCTTTTCTAAGAATATATTGTCTAAAATGAACACCAAAGGTACAAAATCATCTTCTTCTTCATCTTTGCCTTTTCCTGTGTTTATATGGGGCTGGCGTTTCCTTCTCTAATATGTTTTTTCCATTTCTCCCTATCAAGGGCTTCTTCTCCCTTAAGTCCCCTCAGGTTCAAGGCTTCTTCCACCTTATCTTCCAATGCATCTTTGGTCTTCCTCTTTTCCTCTTTCCTTCCACTACCAGTTTTCCGATCTTCTTTCCAACATAACTGTCACTTTGCTCTATGTGGCCAAACCACCTCAACCTACATTCTTGCATCTTTTTGCTCAAGGGGCCCACTTTAACTTAACCTCTAATAAAATCATTCCTTATTCTATCCTTCCTTGACACTCCACACATCCATCTCAATATTCTCATCTCTGTCACCTCCATCTTTCTTTCTTGGGCTCTTGTTATTGCCCAAGTCTCAGCTCCATGTAACATTGCAGGTCTAACAACTGATTTATACAATTTTCCTTTCAGATTGCAGCTGACTTTCTTGATGCATAACACACCACCCAGCTTCCTCCAGTTCATCCATCCACATTGAATTCTATGCTGCACCTCCGAGTTTAATCCTCCTCCCATTTCAAAAAATGTCCCAAGATATTTAAAACATGGGACAAAAAGGAATGGTACATTTTGGATTTTAATATTACACTCATATCTACCATTCAGAGTCATATAAGCTGTTATAGTTCTGCTAATCTTCATGCCCCTTTCTTCCAAACATTTCCTCCAACTTCCAGTTTCTTCAGCCTTGGTTTGGGAAAGTTCACACAGCATAATATCATCTGCAAACAGCATACTCCATGGAGCCTAACACTTCACGTCACAAACCAACACGTCCATTATCAGGTCAAACAAATAAGGGCTAAGGGTCAATCCCTGATGCAAACCAACATTAATGAAGAACGCTTCTGTAGTGCCCACACTACTCTTAACTTGGATCTCTGCTTCCTCGTACATTTCTTGACAAGTCTAACATATTTTTCTGGAACATTCTTTTCTCTCAAACATCTCCATATCTCTTGCCTTGGTACCCTATCATATACCTTTTCTAGATCTATGAACACTATGTGCAAATCTTCCTGCATTTCTCTGTGCCTTTCCATTAGCTGTTTTAGAGCAAAGATAGCATCAGTCATA